TATGGCTGTCCCAGGAAGTTTGTAGAATTTCCACACCCCCGGCCTTACCGTATCGCTACCGGACCCCCAGTTGGGGGAGCCAAATAGACTTCGAAGAGTTAAAGACCAGAGCACCAGAGCTTGGGCCTTGGCAGAATACTCTGGATTCCGTGCATCTGAAAAGCGGCACGTATTTAATAGGTGGCGGCTCGTCGCAGGTCGAGTATTTGGCTCCCTTGGTCACTTTATAGTCGTTTTTAAGGCCAATACCTCAACTGTCCCTTCACATCGCATAGCAGTAGCGTAAAGAAAATTCTATCCTAGTATCTTAGACTACAATTTTGGCTTCCAGATTTTGGAATAATTCGGTAAGCGATTTGTAATGATTTTGGAGAATGACGAGGGATGACATTATTTAGGAAAGATCTTTCAGGTAAGATTGAGATGGTGAGCAATATCAGTTGTCATGAATTATCGTTGTTAAACTGTAATTAGAAAGCTGGTTAGGCGCAGGGCGTTGAATCGGGGCAGCAAAAATTCCCCTTGATGTTTTTAATTTTCATTCATGTAAATTTCTGGCTAGATAAAGCCAGCATCGGTGGTAACAGTGAGTCCTCCGGGGGAACTCACCCCTGTCAAGCCTCCTTGGTGTAGGGCTATAGCTTGATACGTTAATCAAATCAAATCAATCGAATTCAATTCAATCAGTCGCTTAGAACTAACATAAGGCAGTTTTGATACCGTCTTTGTGTCATGTTTTGGGTGTAGAAACGCTGTAATCTATCGCATGAAAAACATATATATCTATATATCTATCAGTTGGAAATTCTGACTCTCTAATTTAGGACTCAACCACTACCTGTTTCGTCTCAGGTTCCCGATAAGATCGACTCTCTCTACACATGTCACGAGTGCGCGAATCGCGCCTACTGTTGCATTTACAATTGGATATTTACGTACTACAGTGTACCTTGGATCATCATGGTAGATGAGAAGTGGCTGGTCATCACTAGGTTTGACAGGCACATGAGACTAGTGGGAATTTCTCCCCTAAGATGTATATATAAGTCCAATGTTCACACAGTTGTAAAATATCAAGTCTTCTTTACTTTATCATATTTATCCATATAGTATCGTACAGAGCATATTTTCCAACACTATCCAACCTTGTTTTCCTTTCCAAAGAGCAGACATATACCTCATTTGTCAATGCAACGCTAGCATAGGGTGATTTGTATAAGCAAGTTCGCTCTGAGGTGACGTTGATAATACCATCAAAACAGGTAGTTTCGTTCGGTTGAGTAGTCATGAAACCAAGATAGTTCAGATTCTCGGCCAAAAGCTCATTCCCACCATCGCCTGACCGCCAACTCGACGAAAAACCTCAAGCAAGCCACTTTTTACGATTAAATCTCGACTTAGGAAAATATCTCACTCCTAGATTCGAACAAGACACCTGTGACGGGTATTCAGCTTTTATTATCAGGGCCACTATATTTCGGAGTCAGATAATGATAGCGTATTTATTTATACTTAATTTATTTCATAATCCTGGTTTGGCGCCCTATGGGCCCATGCAGGTGTATCTAACTTTTTAATTTACAAAAGATGAAACCTTGCAGTGAAAACCCCTAAGCTGTCTGATTGGATTCTGCGGCATTACAGCCTTACCTTTAGGAAGTGCACTCATACTGTTGTTGCCATTATGGATTTCGTCCTTATCTTGTGTTACCATTTCCTCTCTTCGCCCGATTAACGCCTCCATTTCTCAGGTCATCAAAAACTGCTTTAGCCGTTCTTCCTTTTAAATCCACAATACAATTCTTTTCATATCTCTGACGTTGTTTACCATAGATTCAAAGGATTGGGTTGTCGATTTTCGTAGCAACTCACATATTCCCTTTGCCCATCTTGGACAAGACATCACCATATGCTTTATATTTTGAGACGGATATCCACATTGGCAGCATGGTTTTCCTACTTCTTGCACATTCCTTCTGTGAGAGTAAGCATTGAGTCCAATGTGCTCGCTTCTTACATGTATGATAATGCTGCTCTGGACCCTGCTAAGATTTTTGTGGATTTGAATAGGTGACTCTCTATAGTTCATCATAAGTCTACCTATCTTTTTGCTGTCGTACAGGCTTGCAGCTTTCCACTTATCAGGATCTCCTTGCGCTCAGGACCCAAGCGCCGCTCCTTTTTTTTTCTCGGATTTTAATTGCGTATTCAGCTATCTAGCTATGACACAATATCAGAGAAAAAGTACAAATCAGGTGACTCAATTACAACCAGAGCTCTCATGCCTCGGGTTTCATTTTCCAGTTCCACTGCGAAGTTATGGTGGCTTTTTCTTCACCCCCAGTCAACCCTCATCCGTGAATACCCACCCATGGAAAATTTTCAAAAACCCTAGGTTATCCAGATATGCCTCAGCCATCCATTAACTTTTGTCCATGCTAAATGTGATTTGAGATGTCTCCTTCCCAAGTCGAGTAGGTGCCCAGGCTATTGAAACTATACCGTTAAACACCATCAGGAAGCAGACTATAGCACCTTCCATCGTTGGCTTGTATTTATATTGTAAGCTGCACTCTCGCAACCGAAGCCTTGGTGCGCAAAAAGCTCAATTCGCAAAGCTCCTTGCCAAAATTCTAAAATTTACGCCCATCGAGGTTATATTCTTCTCAGAATCATCTTGTAAACTTGTCCTGATCCCTCTCACTTGCATCCCAATGAACTGACTCCCAGATTTGTGTGCCACACTTTGCTTCCTCCTGAAGGTATGAATATCGGTGTAGGCGTATATTTGGTGGTCAGCCGAGGCTAGAGAAAGATAAAAAGAGGTTTGGTCATTGGAATGAGGATATGCTAGGTCGTACTTGTAGTCTTGATGAGGCTTAGGTATGAATCGGACTCTTGGGGAGTGAAAAATTGGGGAGGTGGATTATTTCGAATCATTGCCTCGTAGACCAACTTGTCCGGTATTGTCAAATTTGACTGAACTTGGCACTGGGAAGATATTTCACACCTAGGTTCGCGGAGAACACCGCGTACAGGTGTTTAGTCTTGCCATCCTAGCATCGTTTCTTGTGACTCGTCCATAATTCTGACCATTCCTTGAACGTTGCACTCTTTCCGGCTATTTTCTGTCTTCTCTCAAACTCATTATTGCTATAGATTAGGCTCCATTCCACTATGTCATCTCTCCCATTTTGATCACGTACAACAAATTTTCATTCTCCAAGGGATTAGATTTTTTTGCGTGCAGTTGAAGTTGTCTCTTGAATAGTCCAGTATTTTAAACCCTCCGTTTTAAATTAGATATCTATGGGCAAAGTCGATGTCTATGACGGAAACCGAGTTGATGATGAATAAATTGATTTAATAAACTATAAGGAGAAATGATAACTCTTGCTACTACTAACAGGTATCTATAAGAGTCCATCATCCTCGTGAATCTACAGACTAGTGACTTGTCCTTAGGCACAATTCTTTATGCATAGCCATGTATTTCCAGGTGTCACTAAGTTGTGATAACGTTCAGTATCCTGAATGGTAGTGCTGTTTCGTTCGGCTTCATCTCCTCCCGACACATATTTATCGTAAGAATTCTCATTGTTAAGCTTATGTCTACTCCTAAGCTCAAACAACGGTTGAACCGTAAAATCGACTCGTGCTCTGTCAATCTGCTATTGGGTAATTGATATGCAACTTTTATAAGTGTAAGAAATTTCCTAAGCAGATTTATGTGTGGCTTAAGCATCCTTTCGTGGATTCTCAATCCGGCCCAGGTTGGAGATCCATGGGTAAGCGCCGGTCTTACTGCCAAGTAGTGTAATAATTGTTAATCCTTCAAGTTTGGACCCCATTTTGATAATGTATATTTATTTATCTGGAGTTGGTTGTTCTTTTTTTAAATCATTTATGTGTATTCATCTATCTCGCTATAAAACATGATTAGGGGCATGTGTATATGTTGAATGACTCTTTTGCCGTTAGGGACGCTCATACTCTAGATTTCATTCGCATATACCACTATGAGGTATGTTTGCTTACAAAAACAGTCGACCCTCCTCTGTGAGTGCTCATGAAAGGGAATTTTCAAAACCTTTGATTATCCAAGCATGCCGTCGTCGTCTATGTACACCAGCACCGTTAGGAACATGGCTGAGATTAACTAGTTTCGAACTGGCGATACCCTGTCTCGAGTGTCCAAACTATCCAGAGTCTACTTAGAAGACAGACCAAGATGATGTACCACTGCACCACCCAACTATGGCGATGTCTATAATATCGCCTGCACTCTCACGATCGAAATTTTGGCGCACACAATGTTCAATTTGTAAATCTTCTTGACAAAGTTCAAAATCTCAACCCTTTTGAGGTCGTATCCACTGTCTGCATCATCTTGTCCAGTTATCCGTGTATCTCTTATGCCCAACCCAAAGAACTAGCTTATAAATTTATGCGCTACGATTAATTTCCTTATACGGATATTTATATTCTTTTGAGTGTGTACACAGAGACTATTTGGAGCTAGAGACCGATTTGATAAGAGATGTGGTCATTGAAGAATGCTCTAGGTCATACTAGTAGACCTGATGATGCTTCGGTGGGGCAATCATGTTGGAAGAGAAAGATCGATTTGGTGCAGATTATAGAACCAGTTCTTAATGGGCCAACTTCTTTGGTGTGCGAAATTTTACTATACTTAGCTCTAGGTGGATATTTCACCCTCAGGTTTGTAGTGACACCGCGGAGGATTGTTCAGTCCTTGTCCGCTCAAACATAATTTTCTACTGGCTAGAAACTTGATGTGCTGAGAACCCCTAATTTTTGAGAAATCCATGATAGATGGGGATTGGTTTTACATGTGGTTCCGCTCCGAGGCACTTCCATCAGTTAAATTTGCCATCTGGTACCCTGTAGCTCTCCGTACCGCTTCGTTTTTCAGTGTAACCGCTTTGCCAGGTGCAACACGTTATTATTATTATAATTATTATTGAGTACATTTCATGATGAATTGCGCTGGCTGTAGACTGGCTGTACTTAAAAAATTTACTTCTCTCCCAAAGATAGCTACTCACTCCGCAAATTTTTCCAAAAGTATAGGTTCTGGACGCGCTCTGCAGTTTGGACAGTGGCGACGGATTTCACAATTCTCACCGGAACAGCGAGACTCGACCAATATTGCATCTGTGGATGAACAGAAAAACGCTACTCAAAGCGAAGAGGGAAGGGATCTTTCTTTAGAGGCCCAAACTAACACAACCCCATGGTATCTACGAGTCGAATCACCACAACACACCCCAATATTGTCAGAGCGGCAACGAATACCAGATCCTCCAAAATCACCACCAGAAATATTACAACCATTGATGAATAAGATCTCAATAGACCTTGGCCTTGATAATCTCTCTCTACTTGATCTTCGCGGAATCGATCCACCACCAGCATTAGGAGCAAATCTCCTAATGATAATAGGTACTGCACGTAGTGAAAAACATCTTCATGTCTCCGCCGATCGTCTCTGTCGATGGTTACGAAGCGAATATAAGTTACACCCTGATGCCGATGGATTACTGGGGAGGAATGAGCTCAAGATAAAACTGAAACGAAAGGCCAAGAGAGCAAAACTTATGAAGAGCAAGGATCAAATGAATGATGATGGAATTCGATCAGGATGGGTCTGTATTGACATTGGTACTACCGCCGGACACGAAATCATAGAGGAAAATGCACCACCTAGAAGCTTTATAGGCTTTGGTCCACATACCAATAGTGTAAGGATTGTTGTCCAGATGCTTTCTGAAGAAAAAAGAGAAGAGATAAAACTCGAAGAACTATGGGGTAAAGTTCTGCAAAGAAGTACCTGGTCGGAAAGTTCTGGTTCAGCTGAAGAAATAGACCTGGCTGAAGATGACGATCACCAAGCTACTAGAGAGCAGCCTATGACGGCTATTTCTAACAAAAGTCAGCAAATTAGAGAATTACACACAAGAAGCCGAGCTTATTCGACAACTCGACAACACTTCAAACCAATTGCATCTTACGCCAGTAAACAAATTAATGAACTAGATACATCTCATTTTTGTATGATAAATAGTGATCAATTAAGTCCAACGATATCAACAAATTCTATAATTAGAAGAGAAAATATATTGGCTCACTTAGCCTTAGGTAATTACGAACAAGCTATGGCAGAAGCTTCTCGGTATAGTGAAACTGAAACTCAATACCAGAAAGGGAATTGGAGGACTTTATATCTAGGGATGCTAGTCTCACATCTTCGAAGCTTACCAAGAGACGAAGCATTTCGATGTCTTGGAACTGGACCCTCGGATCGAGAATCGAATTCATTCCTTACCAGCTATTATCAGACATTTAGTGATAAACTTTTGATCGAAGAACATTTGCCTTTACACATTGAATTTCTTTGCTTTGGCCAAAGTCTTCATCATCCTGAGTATAATACTCAAGCACTTGCTGCCCTTCATCGAAATATGACACTTGATAGTGTTAAAATACAAAAGCACACATATTTGCGACTGTTACAGGGTATTCTAGACTTTAACCCCCAAAATGAAAACGCTAATGCTGCAAAGTTTGCCGCCAAAAGTGCAGCTAATGTTCTGGACACAATGTATAGTCAAGGTCAAGATTTAATCGATGAAGATTTTCTGGTTTATCTTCAAATTCTCATATCTCGTTCTGCGCTTTCTTGTGATGATAGTGATGCTCTAGAAAAAGATTTCAAATATAAACGAGATAACTATGGACTTATAAGCGTACCAATGCCAGTAGTACAGGATCGTCTACATCTCGTAATGATACATCTTAACTTACCAATGTTTCGTGATGGGAACAGGATTCAACTTCTTCAGCTTTATGCTAAGGGTGGACATTGGCTTGAATTCTGGGAGATCTTCCACATGGCGTATCTACACGATAGACCTCAGGGTTCAGAGATCTTCGCTTGCATGTTTGCTCTCATTGCTTCGAACAATAATCAGACAACCTGCGCTAGGGTATTAAGAGACTGGTTCCCGAGTTTGTTGCAGGAGTGTCCGTCCATCTCCACTAGAAGCAAGCTAGCCGAGTCCGTAAGGGCTTGCTTACATGTCATAGATCCTGAGCTGCAAGCACAAGGACCTCAACTTTCTAAAGTCAAGAATAGCGAATGGTTTCAAATGTGGAAGTATTGCACCCAGCCGGAAACTAGTAATTTATGAACATGAGAAATTTCAATTATCCTGACACGAACGAATCGCTGTAAATTATTTGTTTATCCCCATACTACTTCACAATGCAAAAATTTACGCAGTAGTGGCCTTGGAACGATATTAGCTGCTTGGATTAAATAGAACAGAAAAATTACGTATCCTGAGCTCGTGTCACAAAGTATTATGCCTCTTCAAGGTACCTTTCTCCTTTCAGGCTGTGCCGTCATCTTCATTTATTACTTTGAAGAAAGTATAATAACTCCTACAATATAGCCCGAACCAAGTCCATAATCAAGTGTTTGTACCAAGTAATATTGTAACGGGCCTCCGGCACCCATAAACATTTGGTCAGTGGATGCCCACAAGCTATGTCTGGACGCACTCCCATGTTATATTCTTGTGAATTATGGTGTGTGGTCATTTCTTAGCTTACGTATTGAACGTTATTTTGCCATTGGATATTCTTGCCCCAGGCTTCATCCGCTGACGCTGCTAGAAACAAAAATAAAATGTTTTGGACGATGCAGGCTTCAAATTTGTCAAGGTACTAGGCGCCAAAATTATGTGTCATCCTAACATCTTGTCTGAGACGAAATTAAGCTATTTCTAGTGTACTATAGGAAATATTAAACTACACGGAAAGAGAAGTAACTGCCTAATTATAACATTTATACCTACTCATGTGGGCTTTGCGATTTATGTTACGTTAAGCCGCCATAACTTCGTAGTGGCACTTGAAACCGAAATCCGCGGCATAAATGCTCTTCATTTAAATTAGACCATCTTTTCTGTACTTTTTCTCTGATATTGTGTCATAGCTAGATAACTGCTTTAGTGACTAAAGTCTGACGTAGAAAATAGTTGTGTCACATGATCTTACCATAAAGTAAATGACCGGCTACCACGACTCGATAGCTCCCCGCCAAATCTACATGAGGATACACCTTATACAGAGCAGTTCAGACGATAGGGTCCAGTTCAGCTCCCATACCTGGAGCAGAGCTCTACGATGCAGAACTTTTGGGAGGCCAGAAAGCTATGGAAGAAACCATGACAAAGGCAGACAATGGCCCAGTAAAGGTACTTATAGACAACCCTAATGTCGCGCAGACTCTACAAAGCGGCCGAACTAGCTCGTCTCAGTCTATAATTGACAAATTTACGGCTCAGGCAGGTCAGCTTCATCTAGTCGAAGTTCGTTAGATACCGGGCCATTCCGAAATTATCGGGAACGAGCAGGCGCACAAATTAGCCAAGGAAGCCCTGAGAGATCTCCCAGACTTGAGGGGCGAGCAGAAATACACCTTTGTAGCTCTGAACTGGCTCGTCTGAGAGCAGTCTAAGGAAGCTGTGGAATCCTGGTGGCTTGAGCATAGACCAAGTCGGTACGAAGAATTAGACCTGCGTATGAGGCGGAAACAACCACCTGAGCTTGGATTGCCGAGACGAGTGTACCATCTTCTGATAGCAGTGAGGACAGGACACGGTGATTTCAATATCCAGCATGACAGATTCGGGCACGAAAATTTGGACAGCAGATGTATCTGTAGACGAGAGAGACGTCCTTGGCACTTTGCAGAGTGCCAAACAGCTCTGCGACAATGGAGAATATCTAGACATGAACCACCACCAAGAGGAGGGATTATTTTGGCAGAAAACGGATGGGAGAAATTCTTTAAGTACATAACCATAACGAGATGTTACGGAGGGCGATTTTTACATCGAGAGGGTTAATCTATCTCGAGAGACTATAATTCCCTAGCAATTTGATATGAAAGTGGGCAAGGCGCAGGGCAGTTTTTGTCTAGGCAATTTTCTTTATCTGTTCTTTCATGTCCTTACTTATCTTAGAAAGCTGGTCAGATAGGCAGCAGTGGGTCTTTAGGGATCACACACCCGTATCATGCCTCTTAGGAGTAGGGCTTTTGCCTAATACGAAATCAATACAGACAATACATACGAGTCCATAGCCGGCAAAGACGAATTCTTCACCTTCCAGTGGTGCCGGTATAATCGCTCAATATGCCCTGCATATCTAGGATAGTCAAGAAGAATCGCATCCAAATGGAAGTCGAAAGCACTCACAAGCACGTCTCTAAACGACGACTTCTCGTCAATGTCGGATCTATCATTCTCACGCGAATCCTCCACCCCAATCTTAATACACCACCTCGCCTCAGATACCGATAATGGTGTTGCTCCAATTGCAATCGGGCATTTGCCTCATCAAAACCCGGCTATCTCCTACTACAAAATTACGATGCTTCATATACCCACGAGGAGGAAATTAAGTCATAATCTACAAAGCTCGGGTCTTAGTCTACGGGGGACCGTTGCTCTAATGGGGCTTCACATCTTGAGGGAGGACAGGTAGCTGGGACGCACATTTTTCGAGTGTTTTCGACTTAAGGGTGTCTGTGGGCGCAGAAGCAACGATTTTGGATAGTACAACCGACACTTTCAAAACAGGCAACGATGGAAGGTTTTTTGGTCCGTCTTCTGGTTGTCATGTTCTCGAATTAAAGTCTGGGTAGCCGGTACGTCTACCTCACTCGAGAAAGGGAGGACTGTGAGGCCATATCTCGCGTGGCGGCTATATACAAGATGACAAAGGCATGTTAGGGTAGCCAAAGGTTTTCCCTTTGTTGGATATTAACGGTTGAGGGAAAGGTGAGAGTCCCTAGTACCAAGGTCTCGAGTGGTATCAGCGAATGCACCTTGTTTGACTTTGTTATATATCATATGATGACTGAGATTACAATTATTATCTAAGTCGAGTAGAAGATATAACTTCTATAAGTAAATTTATTTGAGTTGTTTTATAGAATAAGGTACAAATTATCTAGAAGATGACCGCGTAAAACTAGTTGTGATATATTGTCCGTGTGATGCCTTCCTTCTCCAACAATCCAGATCATGTCCATACATACCCATTACTATAAGCGCTCCTTAGTCATTTAACCAAATTTCCACTAGCTCTAGTTTCCATATACAGGTTTGGATCAAATCACACACGACACTAAAAAGTTACATATATCTCCTTATTTAAAGTGTTCGTATAACCAGACGTCTTCTACGCGTTTCTTTCCTTGACAGTTTTATATTCGCGAGACACGCGACTAGTCACGACCTGACTCGACATTACCGTGTGATAATTGTTGACATCGAATCTCTTCGATGTTTCAGCGCAAGCATTAGATATTACTTAGGACGGAAACAGTGGCCTGGAATATAACTTACTGCCTTACGCTTGACTTGTCCGTAGTGTAACTGAAACATACCCACTACACGAGGAGTCCAAATGTCAAGCTGAGTGTTCGTCGTATATAAATAAATTATTCAATATCCTGATTTGGCGCCTTAAGGCCCATGCCGGTTTTTATCGGAAGATATGTACTTTAAGTAGGATGACTCAATTTGTCATTTAGAACACTCACACTCAGATTTCATTTGCAGATACCGCTCAAGGTTAACCCTTGCGGCGTATGATCTCTTCCGTGCACACCCACCACAGGGAAAAGCGTGAAAAACCTGTGGCTATCCGAGAGTGCTTTCATCATCCCACAAGTACGATATCACCGTGAGAGAGAGTGGTGTGTGGGCCTGACTGGATTCGAACCAGCTTTCTCCTATCTCGAATGGAGTAGGTGTACAAGCTGCCCAGTATCTACTGGGAGAGCGGCCCAAATGGTGTACCACTGCACTATCCAACCCTGTCATCGATTTTCTATTATTATTTAACGTCGTGCTAACCCTTTCGTCGTATATAGTCGTCCGAGAAGCTAGTATACTCCGTGTCATGCTCTATGAGTGCAGGGCTTGTGCCCGTCAAGAACAAATACTCATTCATTCGTACGACTCCACAGCTTTTTAACTCGATTTTATTTAACCCGATCAAGCACCCTATGGGCCCATTCAGGTGAATATCTTCATTATTTACAAAGAAACCAGTATTGTGAAAACCCCCTGATCTAATCTGGAATGCAGCAAACATCTTTACAAATTATAAGATGGGAAAGACAGGAATGAACCAAAGAGGATCACCTTCTAGTATCCGTAAATACCTGAGCAGAGTCCAGAGCAGCATAGCTATGCAGATAAGAAGCGAACACATTGGGTTCAATTCCCATCTGCACAGAAGAAATTTTCCAGGAGTAGACAATCCACGATGCCAATGTGGATATCCGTCCCAGAATGTGAAGCACATGATCATGGCCTGCACCAGCTGGGCCAAAGGTAGAGGAGAAATACTGAGAAAGGCAGAAAACCGGTCATTTGAGGCCATGATGTACAATCCCAAAGATATTGCAAGGATAACTAGATAGATTCAGCAGGAAGGAAGGTTAGAGCAGTTTGGACTGACGCTTAAAGTCGAGGCTACGACGAGGGCAAGAGAAGAGAGTAGAAGGAAGACAAACTTCTACCAGTAACGGGGAAGTGGACGGTCTCCGCACTGGACATAACAGTGTTAGTGCACTTCTTGAAGGTAACACGATATCAAAGTGTATACAAATTGAAAAGTTCAGGGGGCTTTTACCACAAATGTTTCCTCCTATGTAAATATTAGAGTTCGTAGACATCTACATGGCCCTTAAGAATCCAAATCGGGCTAGATGAAATTAAATTCAAAACAACCTGATTCAGTCTATTTACACTACAAATTTGTTTAGTTTACACTGTTCAATAAATGTGGATTCTGTCAGCTCAACTTCCTGATTGATTTATTATATCCGAAATTCCTGCCTCGACTTCCCCTGCAAGTCGAAACTGTTTTATCAACCCTTTGCTTAGTATCTACTGTGTGATTCTAGCCACATCTTCTGGGCTGTTCATCATTGCTTCAAATGACCTGTCTTTAGCTTGTCGGAGAAAGGTGCCTCTTCCATTTGCCCTCTGCAGACACGCCAACACCATATTCTTGATGCTTTGTGACGGATATCCATATTGGCAGCTTGGCTTTTCTACTCCGGGTACTTTTCTTCTGCATAGGTAGGAATTAAGCCAAATAT